CCCCGCGGCCCCCCCCCCCCCGCCGCTGTGACCGCTGCAGGGTGGAGGACCGTGGCGGGCGCCCGCGCGCTGGCGGGGGGCGCTGCTCCGGCACGCGCCCGGGGCTTGAGGCCCAACCGAGCAGTCTGGCAGTCTCCCCAGTTCCCACCCGTAATCCACCACCCGCAGCCCGCGCGGAGCTGGTGCCACGCGATTTGTCCTGAAACTTCAGTGGTGGCATTTTCCTGCAGGAATCTAGTTGCTCTGATAAGTGTTGGTAATGCCTTTTGTTTCAAGTCATATCATAGTACCGATTCTCTTTGGGAGAAAGCAACACTGCCCCATCTTTGTGATACCTTTTTGTCTCACCACGTTTTATTCAGCCTTTCCTCATTCGTGCATTTAGTGCTGTTTATTGAGATAGAGGCCCCGTTTATTGTGAGACACTTGTCAAAATTATTATAATTGATGCCGTTCAAACAGGATAGTACAGCAATTCGCATAAAATGTCGTAGTGCTAAAGCATGAAGAGCTTTTTCCTGACTAGGCTCTTATTATTTTAAAACTTTCCCTTATTGTTCGTGTACTTTCGAGTTTTATCTCTAAAAATTGGGGTGGTTCAATATAGTAAGAGAAATAGAATTACAAATGCATACTTTTGGAGTAGATATCCTTGACTTTTTTTTTTTTTTTTGGAGAGATTTTCACTGTAGGGCGCGTGCACTCGCCAGACAGAGACATAGAGACAGAAAGCGAGAAATCACCCCCCGGGAGGATGGTCACGCTGCAATCCCTTCTCCTCCATTCTCCTCTCGGGATCTTGGGCACCCACGCACGCACACGCACCCGGTGTGGTTTTAAGCCACCGGGTCCGGGACACGAACCACGGTCGACTACGTGGGAGTCCAGCGACATAGCCATTACGCTAACTGCTGGTTCCCCGATATCCTTGACTTTTAAATGACATTTATACTACAAATGTTTTCCATTTTAAAGTAGAGGAAATTGTCCTTTGTCAATTAAATACTGTTTACACTCACTTCATTTTCTACAATGACTATATGTATCATTGTAAATAAAATAGTTCCAGAGCAAGCTCAGGTATTCTGATTTATCTTTACACCCACACAGAAGAGCAAATACATGACTCAGGAAACTCAGAGTAAAAATCAGATGTAACAAACCAGTCCCTTTTGTGGCCATCAGAGACCTAGCTCCTTCCAGCTCATTGCTCTGTGACCCTCAATTTGTGGTCCTAAATAGCTGCTTCACGTCCAGTCATCACATCTTTCCATCAGTGAAGAGGAAAGTGTAAAAGAGAAGTGACCCTCCCCTTCCCCGCCCCAATATAGACCCTTTAAGGACACTTCTAAGAAGTTATACACACCAATTCCTTCTCTGTCATCTTGGCCAGAACTTAGTCACCATTGCCACACCCGGAGTGTGGCAGATTGCGTCTTCCACAGGTGACTGCAATAATATCTTCTGACCAGTGTGGCCTTGCCCTCCCCATCCAAGTCAAAGTCTTATTTCCCCTCTTCTTGAATCTGAGTGGGCTTGTGACTGCTGTGGCCAATAGCGTGTGAAAGAAGTCAGCCCACCATGCCAGAAGCCGACACTGTATGGGTACACCACCCGGAGTCTTGGCCCCACAAAGTACATGAGTATAACAGGGTGTTTTTAAGCCTCTAAGTTTTGAGTAATTTGTTACACAGCAATCGTAACTGAAATACATGGCCATAAGGAAACTTTGGGAATGTAATCTTTATTTTTAGCAGTCATGTGCCAAGCAAATATTTGGGGATTAAGGAGAACCAAATCTGGAGATAATTATCAGTCTCTGCCACAATAATTACTAATAACACTTTCATACTAGGGATGACAGAAAAAAAAAAAAAAAAAAAAAGCACTATGTTTCCAAACATTAACAAGAGCCTTAAAGAATCATCTCAATGTTGTGTTTCCAAATTCACTTATTTCTTTTCCTGACTTATCTTATGAGGTGTGGTCCATGGAAGGTTGTGTGGCTCATATCCTTAAGAGTATAGAATTGGCTTAAGCATGAAATGTGAACTTGGATTTGATGACAAATATGGTCTCCTTCATCTTGGGAGACTTAATATAATAATAAAAGAAGACACTGGATTGAAAATATCTTTGCCAGCAGCTCTCTGATAAGAATTTTTATTTGCATCAATTCTTAAATCAATGGCCCCCCCCCCCCAAAAAAAAACAAAGCTTGATTCTGATATTTCCTTTAAGTTAGTTTTGTTCTCAGAATAAACATCTACTTCTCAAATTATAGTCTGGCTTTTATTCACTACCACTTAACCTTTTTGATAATATTGTGTGATAGCCTTTGCTTTCATTTTCAGAATATTTCCTTTGAACCTTGGAATATAGTTGACAGTGGCTTATGGGGACTATTTCTCTTGAATCCTTTAAAAAGAACATCACTGATATTGATTCTTTCGTTGTTGATTTACAAAGCAATTTGCACTCGTTTCTCAGAGAGTCAGACTAGAAGTGATTGCAAAAGAATTCCAAAAGCTCAATGTTGAAATGAAATGAGTGCTACCAAATTAGTTTTCACACAGGGGAATTAAACAGACGTTGCCCAGAGACATCAACGCACTTATCTGCAGCTGCCAAAACACGACAACAGCATGGGCAACTCGATGGCTTGGACAAGCTTTCCAATATAGAATAACTGACCAATCAATCATACAGCATTTCCTATCGATAGTTAAGATGTATCCTGATTAAATTTCTCTGGTGCAAGAATATACCCACTGAAGGGAAAAAAAAAAAGTAGGTCATTGAAAGGCATGGTGGCCACCAGTCTCGGTTTTACATACTTTCACCATTTTGGCACTGACTAGTTTTGGTGTATCTAATTTATATTCTGGAGAGCGTATTCAGTTAGTTGATCTTGACTAGGATTGCCTGACCTTGACTGAGGTGGTCTGGTCAGTGTGGCCAGGCAGGTGCAGGGCAAGCACATGGTCAGATAGTATAAATACATGGTAAGTCCTGCCTCTTCGGCAGAGAGAAAAGTCCCAAATTAGAATTGTAGGTGGTACAGACAGCTGACATCATGTCTGCTAAAAGATGGTCACTTTATAGCCTGAAACTCTTACAGGCACTTAGACTAAGACTGAGTAAAATGTTTACTCTCTAGATTCAGCTTTGCAAAGAGTTGTCTCTAGAATATCAAGTGGTTCTCAAATTTTAGCCAGCACCTGAATCACCTGCAAGTCTGGCTCAAACATGGCTTTAAGTATTAGGCAAAGGTCTCTTAACATTTTTTGATTTTGATTTATTAAGCTAAAACTGCCTTTCTTGAAATGAAAAAATATAATTTAAAATGCCTATTTAATGGCCACAGTAAGCTATACAGTCTCAGCTAGGTGCTACTTTATAGTATATTCATTCTACCCACAGAATTTCATATCTAAAGTCAGCTTTTGTTCACAGATATGTATATATCAGCTAAACTTACTAGTGAAAGTATCTAATTTAGATATTTTTTGAATCAATGAAATGTGGAAAAGAATAAAGGAATGGAAACCATCTGCAGATACCAGAGACAGGGTGGGAGGAGGATGGGAAACGGCAGAGAGTGAAAGATAGGGAGGGAAATAAATACATACAAGAAATAAATGGAAAATTATTTGTTGATGATAACTTGTATGATTAAGCCACTTTGCAGTGTATTCTGGCTGGAAAATCGCATTTTGTATGCTGTGGTGATCAGTGAAAGAATTTTTTAAATAAATTAAAAAAAAATGGTTTCTGGGGCCAACTCCCAGATTTTCAGATTCAGTAGGACTGAGCTGGGGCTGGAGAATTTGCATTTCTTTTCTTCTCTTTCTTTCTTTTTTCTTTTTTGTAGGTTTTCACCATAGGATGCATACACTCACCTGAGAAAGAGAGACAGAGACTGAAAGCAGAAAAGTGAGAAATCACCTCACAATCCCTTCTCCATTCTCCTCTCGGGATTTTGGGTACTCATGCACATGCACTGGGTGTGATTTTCATGCCGTCAGGTCCAGGACTCAAATCGTGGTCGTCCATGTGGGACTCCAGTGCCTCAACCACCACACCATCTCTATCAACTATCCAGGTGGCACTTACTCATTATGCCAGGAGTCTGGGGACTGCAGTAAGTTCCCCAGGAAAGATCTTAGACTCATGCTGTAAAAAGAAGCTCTTTTAACACCAAAGCATAAGCTTTTCTTTGACTACATGAGGACTAAATGGAAGTCTCATTATTCCATTCTCCTTGAAGAGGTCTTACAAAGTTAAAGAGATTCTAAAAAGCAACAAAGACTATGTCCCTAAACAACAACACATTTTGTAAATCGAATATGAGTTTCCTATTAAGAATCAGGTTGGATACATGAGTTTATCTCTGCATCCTTAAACACCACTAAAATCATGGCTAAAGGAATGGGGAAAAACTCACAAGCACAAAGAGAAAAGGGGAACTACAATAAAATGTAAATCTAATTTTTCACATTTTTATCAGTTTTAAAAGGAAGACAATTCTTACACATGCTAGAAAACTTTATAATAAGTGAAATAAGCTAGTCTCAGTAAAAACAAACATTGTATGATTCCACTTAGATGAGTTATTCAGAGTAGTCACAATTTATAGAAAAAGAAAGTAAAATGGTGGTTGCCAGGGCCTGGGGGAGGGGCGGGATAGAGAGTTATTTAATGGGTAGAGTTTCAGTTTTGCAAAATGAAAAAGTCCTGGGATTGGTTGCACAACAATTTGAATATAACACCACTGAACTGTACCCTTAAAATGGTT